TCCAACAATACTACAGCGGTTGTTAAATGGTTTTGCCCCACAAAATGATACTATTATGCAATTCCTCTTATTTGTATCATTTCAACAGCAATTCAAAGAGTTGGCTGGAGCAAGGCAAGGGGTGGCAAACCAACCAGGCTGGCAGCTGTAGCCCGATCTGCTGGCCCTGCTGTGTGGCTTCTTTTTCTTTGACTCTCGCCCAGGAAATAGTTTAGATACATCTGGAAACGCAGTGAAAATATTTGGCATGGACACCATGTGAAAGTTTAGGAGGCCCCAGCAGCTCTAGGGCACAGAGGGTGGGGAGTAGGGGGATGCTCGCCTACATTCCCCTCGCTCCGGCTCACTCTCTCTTCTTTTAAAGAGACCGTCATTGTTCCCGTTGCCCCACCCCCACCATCCCAGGCTGTGTGCTACAGACTGAAATCTATACTCACCAAATCTGCATTTAATTCTATTTTACTCAGGCAATTATTAAATAAATAATTGCATTCCTATTGGAACCATATTTTAAGATCTTAATGACCACGAAGGAGATTTATAGCTGTTACAGACTTGCTAATCCTCAATAAATATGTTTTCAATCAGGTTAACATTTCATATACAGTAACTGTCCTATTAATTATGGGAGGGATTTTTGTAGCCTTGATGGAAAGTGCTGCAGTTGACTTGTTTACCCTGGGGCTTTTTAAGTTACATTCAAGTTTGGAGATTAAAATGGGAATTTTCTACCCTTCAAAAATCAAGACCCAGGAATAAGAGTGAGTATAAAAGCCACAAGAAAGAGCAAGCAGCCTATAGCCATGGAAGAGCCTGGACTAGGAATCAGGAAATCAGGATCTAAGTTGGCTTCTACTGCTAGTTAGCTCTGTGGCTCTGGCCAAGTCACTTAACCTTTCTTAGCCACAGTTTCCTCATTGTCGAATGGGGATAATTGTACCTAGCCTGGCCACACTTTTTTGTGGTAGGGAATTTGATATGAGTATATAAGAAAATGCTGTAAAAGTCATGCAGTGCTACCACATGGAGTCTGGAGAACCCAGGCTCAACTTCATGCTCGTTAACTGACCCACCTTGGACACATCTTCTGACCCTCTGACCCTCAGTTTCTTCATTTGTACAATGTAAACAATAATAGTAGTGGGAGTAGAAGTAATGCCTGTTTTTCAAGGATTTGTCAAGTTTGGTGAGATGACATATATGAGCCTTCACACAAGATCTAGCACATAGTAAGCACAAAAAACATTACATGTTCATTCATTAAGAATGAACATACTTTGCTAAGATGAAACCCAAGATGTTTGGGAAACCTGAGAATCACAGAGGCATCCTGTTTTCTGACAGAGAGAAACAGGCCTGCTATGATAGAACTACTACCATCACCTATATATTCCTGAACCCCAGGGCCCATTCCTCTGCTGTTATGCCCTCTCCACCACTTCTTCATTAGGAGCCCTTTAATAAGTTCCAACTACAATTTTACCTTAACAGCTTGGCTGGGAGAGATGCAATTACACTAAGGAATACAGAAGGATGCTGCATTTGAGAGTGGATTACAGTTCTTCCAGAAGGAGGGCAGTGGGCAGTTGGAGATTTGGATCAGCAGAAAATTCCTAGTAGTCAGTGTCACACCAAGGAAGAAAGAAGCAACCTGGAATAATTTCCATTCCTAAGCATGTAGCTCTTCACTGTCAGCTCTGGAGACAGGGATGCCCATTGATGGACAAAACCTGGAATCATGTCACTCTATACCTTTCCAGAGTCTTCCAACCTCACAGCAGATATAGAGACAAACCACTCACCAGGCTGCCCAGACTGAGCGAGATGGCATAAGAGCACGCGCACAGAAACACAGACCCAACGGAAGGCCAGGGAGCCGAGGAGGGAACAGCCGGAGCACACGCAGGTGCTCCAGACATCATTGTACTCTCAGCTCTCCAGACTGGACTGGGGCCCTGCCCGTGGCCCGCCTGCCCTGCCGCACCCCCAGCACGCACACACACACTCACACTCACACATGCATGCCTCTAGGGACAAGCAGAAGAGAGATTAGCTACACAAACCAGGCAGGCTTGTAAAACAGCTGAAGAATTAAATACTCAGGAATGTTTTGGCCACGTTGCTGACCCATTTTCCGCCCTGCAAAGCCCAGGGAAGGAGAGGGAGGTAGAAAGAAAAATAAAGAACCAGGGGGAAACAAAACCAAATTATTAAGTTCTTTTCGTTAAATAAATAAACTGCATCTGACAGACCCTCCCCTGGAGTCCTGGAGTGCCATCAGCCCTGGGAAATGACTTGAGAGAAAAAACACAACAAAGACTCCTGGGTCTTGACCAGCCAGAGCAAGAGAGGCCATTTAGTTCATTCCTTCACTCAAATCAGATTGAAATGAGAATTGGAATCTCAACAGAGGAAGGGGAAATGAGCAGCCTGTTGATATCCATTCGAGTTTGGAACCGGGAATCAGCGCATTTCATGCTGGCTTATAACCCTGGCACCTCTGCTTCTAATGTAATGACACCCAGGTATAAATGTCAAGACCCCAAATCTAGTCGCCTGCTGTCCTCTCCTCCCAACTGTATTCAACTCAAACACAGCACCTTGCCCTTCACTCTCCACTCGTAGCCACTCATCCTTCCGCATTCCTTAATCTAGTGCCGTCCCTTTATCATTAATGATCATCCATCAAAAAAAAAATTTCTGGCATCCCCCTCTCTTCCTTGTTCCTCATCCTCCAGATCCATTTGGTCACCAATTCCTATCGATTCTACTTTGACATATCGTCCAAATCAGGTCCACCTTCTGCAAATCTGTGATCACCAGATTAATTCAGGATACATCAGGATTTATTTTAAGAATCAATCCTCTTAGTGTCACCTATCAGCCTTTCATACTCCATTGTCATCTGCCACAGTATCATAGATGTTACTGTCCTAAAGAAAAACACCATATCAGGTCATTTCCTGATTAAAGACCTCCACCAACTCAATGCTGCTTTAACGGGGCAACCCTAGCTCTTCTCAATCTGACCCCCAACCTTCCTCTGTGGCCGAAACTCTTACCCCTCTTCACCAACGACCCTGAAGCCACAACGCGCTGTATCTCTCAAGCCTCCCACCGGCTTCCACGACTCCTGGTTTGGTTTGTTCTCCTCTGCCTGGAAGGTCCTTGCTCCATCTACCAAGACCCAGTTCTGGAGATATCTCTCTGCACCCTCTCCCCAGGACAAAGTTAACCCCTTCTTCCCCACATTGCTCATACCACTATTTTAGCACTCACTGTGGGGTGTAATTATCTATTTCTAAATTTGTTCCACTAGAATGTGAACTACTCAAGTCTGTTCCTCATGTTTTATTCATATTACCTTCAGCATGTGGCACTTCTTAAATGTTTCACTAAATGAACAAAAGGGCAAACTAATGATGATTCAGCAAGTCAGCAATGTCAATTGGGTAAAGGACTACTCTCTGTGGGACCATTTCCTCATCTGTGCAATGAAGGGCTTGAGTGAATAAACTTTAAAAATCCCTCCTAGAGCTGACATTGTATGATTTTATGAGTTTTAGCTGAGGCGTATTGGATGACTGGAAATTTCTGTGTGAGAACTGAAGCAGAGAGTTGAAAATATGTAAAGCAGTTGGGAGCCTTCTGTAAACATGGAGGTACAGGGGTACTCAGAGCAAGACAGGTTTATACAGAGGTAAGCCAGATGTTTTAATTAAGAACACAGCAATGTACAGTATCCAAACATTATATTAGAACTTGCAATCTGATATGCCTGCAGAAATCCAGCCTAAGTCCTTCAGAGGAAAAATGATGGACGGACCAGGAAGAAACAGAAATGGCCTAACAGCAGGTGGGAAGGTGGGCAGTGGGACCCGTGCGATGAGCGCCCGTGGCATTTCTCCAACACAAAAGCTTTCCTTCCCATCCTTAAGCACTGCCAATGTTTTGACTGTCTGGCTGGATGAGCCTACTTATTGCCATCTTGTTTGACCCAGTGCCTGACAAATAGAAAACACTCAGCAAAGGTTTTCCCAATTAATAACTGAGTGTTTTAAAAGCTAAGTGGAACCTATAAAGGTGAAACTCCCTGCCCTCAAGGAGAACTCCCAGTTTGTGAAAGGATCTAATCACTGAAGTAACTACTAAGAGAAGTAAGTATTCACAGGAATATACCAAACCGTAGTGCTGTTGGTTTTTTGGTTTTAGTTTTGGGATTTTGTGGGAGAAGCTTTCCTATGCACCTTTTTCCTCACCCCAAATACTCGGCAAGCGCCTTGTGGACAAAAAATTAAGTTCCTTCTTTCCTCCAAAACAGCCACCACAGAGTCTTGCGCGTAAACACTGCATACAGATTTGTTGATTGATTTCCTTTATAAAGCCAGAATACTTAAAAAGAGAAAAATTGCAGAAAAAGTGAATGGGGAAAATGTCTCTTAGGAGAGGCTTCATCTAAACTGGGAGAACTTGGGAGCTTGGGAAAGACTAAAACTGCAAGGAAAAGAATGGAAGAAAGAAACGAATAGGAAAGAGGCAAACAAAAGAACGTGGCTCCAAAGAGCAAGAAAGAAAGAGAAGTTGAGGAGGATGAATTATAGTTTCAGAAAAACACCGGGGTCTAGTTAAGAATGGAAACAATTAGTGTCAGTGGTGTCAGGTCACAGTACTAGACACATCATGCATTTCATTTCAGACAGAGTTGTTTTTCTACGTGTGGAAGACGGTAATGGGAACCAAAGCAATTTTGTCAGAAAAATATTCGTTTAGTCACTAACTACAAGGAGAAACCTTCAGAGGAAACAAGCCCAATCATTTCCTTCTTTTAAAAATGTAAAAGCTGGATTATATTTATAAAAAGAGCTCTTTGATAATGAGACTGAAACAAGTAATTTGGTTCCTATGGTTTGATGCCAAAATGTTGTCAAGAAGGGAGGGAAGGAATGAGAGAAAGAAGGTGAAAAAGAGAGAGGAGGAAGGAAAGGAAAGGAAATGTCTACCTTCCAGTTTGGCTGCAAGATCCAGTAGCCTTGTCTTCTTCTTCTCATTTCCTTTCCAAAGCTCTGCTTCTTAGGAGGCACTCGGGGAAGATACTGCCCAACTTATCACACTGAAATTTATGAAAACCAGAATTATGTAAAGTATAAAACCTAAAGGAAGAATCTCAAAATCCTAAGAACTATGAGTTCATGGCCTTCCTTTAATTATCCTGACATTGAGGAAAACAACATGCTTGTTTAAGTAAGATTACCTTGTCAGATGTCTTGACAGGTCTGGCATTAGAGAAAGCACCATATCATCAGCATGGATTAATGCTCTCTTCCTGTGAAACATATGACATGTTTTTCTTTAGATGGAAAACAATACTATCCTATCTTCACTACTTGTCTGGGACATGAACAGAAGTTTTCTTACAAGGATGAAAAGGGAGGCAAATAAGAAGCACCAAGGTTTTCCTTTTGCCAAAACTTGATTGACAGGAAGACTGATTAAAGTGAACACCAAAGGCAGACTAGAGCAGAAGAAGGAAGTCAGAAAAACGTCGGTTACGTATGGAAGAAGGAAGGGAGCACCCCAATCACTGTGCTCCAGTAATGGTGGAAGCACACACCTGGCTAAGAATGGATACTTATTGTATATATGTTGGAAGTGTGGATGGGTGAATGGGGAGATGGGTGAACAGATGTGTGGATGGATGGATGCATGGATGGATGAGTGGATGGATTGGTGAGTGGATGGTGGAGGGATGGAGGCATGGATGCAGGAGTAGATAAGTGGATGGGTGGATATGAGGAATGGAAAAGTTGATGAATGGATGATCTGTGGGGAACACATACCTCTATGCCCTAAATGGGTCACCTCCTAAATCACTGCCCAGCCTACTGGCCATAGGGAGAAATGCTAAAGGAATTATTTCAAATGACTGCTTACTCTGTGATACAAGGAGGAATAAGACTTCAATTACCTATAGATGTTTATTTTTTAATGGGCATGTCTATATACATATATATATGTGTATACACATGTATATGTTCATAAAAATGTTTATTACCCCAGACAGTAACCCCACTTGAAAGAATTTATTCTAAAATTTTTTCAAAAAAGTTATTTGCATAAAGATTGTTTTGAAACATAATCTATAAAATTTAACAATTACAGCACCTACAAATATTAAAGAAAATTATTTCACTTTGAAAGACTATTATCCATAAAAGAACAACAAAAATTATGAGACAACATGGGAGGATGTTTATAGTAGGGGGAAATTCAACATTAAATGTATATATACAAGGAGCATGCATAAATTTTGTAATCAAAATATAAATAATAATTACAGTTTTATGTGTAACTACCATTACAATTACATAGAGATATATTTGCATTTCAAGAGGGTGAAAAGAAACACTCAAAAATGACAACAGTAAGTATGTTAAGATGGTTAGAATTCCAGATATTTTTTTAACTAAAAAATTATTTTTAAATTACCTTGAGGTACTTCATTTCCTTTAAGCACAATAATATTTTCAAATAAAAATAAGGAAAAACATTTTTAAATGATTATCACTGTTGCCCCAACCAGGCTGTCAGCATTTCGTACTAAGTCAGTGAGCTATGGAAAAGGACCTAACATAGAGGAGGAAAAAGGAACAACTCAGAGAAGAGGACAATTTCAATGGAAGAGAAGCAGAAATATATATATGAATATCTCTGAGAATAAATGACTCCCATCCTCCTCCTCCCCAAATGCTCTCACCTAATCCTCATTCCTGCTTTCTCCATGACCTTTTCGTATCAATTACCCAGACCACATGGCAGCCCTTCCGAACAGTTTCAACATTTTGCTCTCACATCCACGATTAATTCCCACAGCCTCCAACACTTCAGCCTAAAATTATACTGAGCATATTAGTTTTCTCTTGCTATGTAACAAATTACCATAAACCTAGGCATTTAAAACAACACACTTTAATTGTCTCATAGTCTCGATGTCAGGGGTTTGGGCACAGTTTAGGGTCTCACCAAGCTGCTGTGAAGGCACCATGCAGGCTGCATGCTCATCTGGAGCCTAAACTAGGGAAGAGTCTAATTCCAAGCTCATTTTGGTTGTTGGCAGAGATTGCTTCCTGGCACACTCAAGACTGAAGACCTCCACTGTCACTGGCTGTCAGTCAAAGGCTTCCTTAAGGCCCTAGAGGACACCATCAATTGCCTGCCATGTGGCGCTCTCCATAGGCAATCAGTGTTTGCTTCCTTAAGACCAGCAGTAGTGTATCTCCCTCTTCTCAGCCTCTTAAGTCTCATCATAACCACAACTTCACTTAGACCTCTACCACCTCAGGCCTCTCCGATCTTTGTTTTGGCTTCACTGACAAATTTCCAAAGGAAGCCACTCCCTCCCACTCAAAAATCCCCAAGCTTCTCCCTTCAGTTCCTTGCTCTCACCAAGTTCCCCCTTATCGCAGGATCCTCCCTTCTGCCCCCTCCCAATCCCCAACTCTCCTGCCCCTTCTGCACCTGATTAACTCCTTTCGGTCTGCTTCAGTGGGGACTTCCGGTTCCCCAGACTAAGATGTCATCACGTAATTTAATAGCCTCTCTGTAATAATGGGTTTAATGCCTTTTTCCTCTACGGTTTGCAAGCTCTATGAAAGAAAGAAGTGTCTCTGCTTTGTTTATTCCTTCCTATACCCTAGTGTTTACTTAGTTCAGTGCCTGGAGCAGAGTAGGTACCCAGTGGATGTATGGTGAATGGATTAATTGGGGAATAGATTGTAGACAACATCTCAGAACCCTCAGCTTATCCCTCAGTGCTGAGAGGCTACCGTCCTACGGGATCTTCTCAGCGTCTTCCTCATGGTGAAGTCTGTCTCTTCCCACTCACCCTCCTTTACTTGTCAGCAGCTCCTAGCATACTGAGCACCCCTTGACTCCCCTCGTTCGACTTTGGAGCTCTGAACTCTCCTAATCCCTTTCCTCACTTCCTAAAGGCTCCTTTTGTGTTGCCTTTCGAAGACTGTCTTCCTCTTCTAGAATTTCTGCTTCACCTCCATCCAGAGAAAGCCAAAACTTGTACCCTGACCCAGAGCTTCTCTTTCTAACCCATCTCCATTTGTGACTGGCAGCTGGGTCTTTTCACTTCAATGATTCACCACCCCTCAAACTCAACTTGTCAGAAAGTCTCCTCTCCTTCCCTTCTTGGATCCTCCTCCCTATTGTCACGTTGACATCAAAATCATCCAGGTCCAAACCCTCAGAGTCACATTCGGCTACTCCTGGTCTCTCCCTGGCTTGCCTCCTGCAGCCAGTCCCTCCTCTAACCCCCACTCTGCTTATTCCTTCTCAAATGCCCTCCTAGATGGCCTCCTAACTGACCCCCACCTCCAGAACCTAAGGACCATCTATTCGTTATCTTCCTAGATCACAGTTCTGGTCATGTCCCTCTAGCACATGATAATCCGTAGTGACCACCATTTGCTTAAAATCACTCCAAACTCCTCACATGGCATTACCTGACCCCCACAATCTGGCTGCTAGGTACCTCTGTCATCTTACCTGTGTCCTCACCCTTGTTCTTGTCTGGTCTAAGCAGGAGAGTCACAGCTCCCACAGTGCTCTGGGTCTTTGTTCATCAGGTTATTCCCTGCTTGGAATGTCCTTACTCTGACCCCTGCTGAAAAACAAATCTAAAAGAACAAATTCAAACACCTGCCTACCTCTCAAAGGCCAACTCAAATCTGACTTCCTCCATGAAGACTGCAGGTCCAAAATCTGCTATTTCCTCTGGACTGCAGCCACAGCCCTGTGCTACTCTTAGAGTACCTTGAATGGTTTTTATAGCAACTCTTTGGGCATGTGTAATCCCCATCCCTAAACTATGTGCCCCTTGGAGGCCCTGGTCATCATCACCTGGCTTTGTCTCCCAAGCTGAGCAGGGCCCCTGGCCCATAACCAATTTGCTATAAAAAGTTCAAAGGACCACAGATGGCCCTGGTGGAGGCTCCCTTTGCTGAGGTTCTTGAGAGCTGCAACCTTGAGTTTGGCATGATTTGGGCTTGCCTTCACCAGGACTCTTTACCTCCAAACTGCAAACAGGAAAGCCATGGGGAGGAAAAGCTGTGGTTAATAGAAAAGCAATCTCTGAGCCCAAACCACCAGCTGCCTTGTTAAAATTAACAAGCAGCAAAGTGAAACATGTGGCTTAGGAGTCGGGTTTCTTATTGTTATTGTTCTACACACACACACACACACACACACACACTGAGCTATACACAGGATGACTTTCCCAGGAATAAGCTGGCTTGAGTGAGTGGCTGATGGACGAATGGAAGGTGAGAGGCAGGAGAGGAGAGTGTGGAGCACACAGCCAGTGGATGTTCTTTAAACCCCAAAAGAGCAGAATGGGGGGTGGTTAGAGTGTGACCATTCCAGGGGTGTCAAAGTCTCACAGCCAGGGCCATGCAGAGAGTGAGTGCACACCTTCAAGAAATCACATTGGATCTTCCTCTTTCTCTCCTTGATACGTGTTCTAATCCCAACCAAGTGTGTAGCACAGACATTAAAATGGGGGCTGTGGACTCAGAAAGACCTGTGTTGGCCAGGTGGGTCCGTCACTTCCAGGGGGTGTGTCTATGTGTCTCAAGGCCTCTTTGGTATAATGGAAACAGAGTAGTAGGACTTGATTCATAGGGGGGGGTCTTAGACTTAAATGAGATGCTATTTGTAAAGCAGTTTGTACAGCACATACTTTACCCCTCAATTTATATTAGGGTTTTTTCTTTCTTTTTAATGTGCCTACTATGTGCCGTACACTGCCAAATAATATATAAATTACTATATTGCTTGAAATTTGCTCCAAGTTACTTATGAGGAAAGGATGGGAGCCTGTGGTCCAAAGCAGGATAAGTATGGGGGCTGCTTTGGCACAGCCTGTGCCCACCTCTTTCTCCACCCACTTTCCTTCCTGGAAATTCCAGTGTCCCCACCCCAGGGCAACCCTTGTCAAGCAGGCTTAGCCTCAGAAATCATTGTTGCCAAATTCCAGTGCTGTAGCTTAAACTGAACCTTTCTCAGCAGCTCTCGCCTGCGAACACTGTTCCAATTGCATTCAGCTAGCAAAATCCCATCTGCCCAGTGCTGTTTGCACAGGGCCCTGACACACCCCCAGGAGTTCATTTTATCCTCCTCCCCACCATCCTCTCTGCTGTTTCTGTGGACATCTTTAGTCAAAGTCAGCGATCATCTGTGAGTATTTAACAACCAGCTCTCTGGAGAGGAGGGAGGGAGCCTGGGTTTGTATGCTATGTTCCATGTTGGAAATGTCCTC